TGCCTGTTCCATCCTCTTTTGATATCGATGAAATTCATGCGATATTGCAGTTTGTCGAGCAGTATTTTATTGAAAATCATCATCATATTGCTGCCTTAATCGTTGAGCCTCTGATTCAATGTGCCAATCAGATGTTTTTTTACGCGCCAGCTTATTTGCAAGGGTTGGTCGCCTTGTGTCGGCAATATGAAATTCATGTGATTGCCGATGAAATTGCGGTTGGTATGGGGCGAACTGGGACGTTATTTGCTTGTGAACAAGCGGGTATTTGCCCTGATTTGATGTGTTTGTCCAAAGGTATTAGTGGAGGAACTTTACCTTTATCTCTGGTTTTGTCCCGAGACGAAATTTACCATGCTTTTTTAGGTGAGGAACCCAAGCAAGCCTTTTTACACTCTCACTCGTATAGTGGCAATGCCTTAGCGTGTCGCGCCGCTGTCAAAACGTTATCTTTATTGTTAGATGAGGGTGTTTTAGAGAGTGTTTCAAGTAAAGGCAATAAAATCAAAATGTTAATTTCTAATGCATTATCAGGCAGAGCTGTGAAAAACCTAAGGCAATTAGGGATGATCATCGCATTTGATGTGATAAATGCCCCACCTGATTTTGCACAACGCTTTTTTCAAATAGCCTTAACGCATCAAGTGATGATTCGCCCCATTGGTGACACCGTTTATATTATGCCCAGTTATCTGATAACGGATTGTGAAATTGAAATTTTAATCGATGGGATTGTTAAAACTTTGCAGGAGATAGGTGATGTCTAAGCCAAAAGCTCATCCAAACGATGGAGTCGATGTAACAAAACCATTGCACAAGTCGCAAAATAGACTGTACCCATTGCCTAGCATCGATTTGCAGAAAAAAATTGCAGAAGCTAGCCAAGCTTGGCATCCCTTAGTGCTCAAAAAAATTGTGGCTTTTGGGGGTGTTTTTGTGACAGGTACGGATACCGAAATTGGAAAAACATGGGTATCAGCTTCGCTGTTATATGCTTTAAAGCAAGCAGGTGTTGATTGTATTGGTATGAAGCCAGTGGCGAGCGGTGCGCAAAAAATTTCTGGACAATGGGTTAACGAGGATAGCTCTTTACATTTATGGGCGTGTCGTTTACGTAATGCGCCCATTGATCTGATCAATCCTTATATTTTTGAGGAGGCGATAGCTCCACATATTGCTGCGGAACATCAAGGCGTTAAAATTAGAAAAAGTGTTATTTTGAATGCTTATGTTTATTTAAAGAAGAGTTACCCACGTTATTGTGTGGTGGTCGAAGGCGCTGGTGGGATTTTAGTGCCTTTGAGTGCAAAATGGAATATGGCCAAACTTGCCCAAAAAATGGAACTACCCATTGTGTTGGTGGTTGGGATTCGGTTAGGGGCAATTAACCATGCTTTATTGTCTTACGAGCTGATTTTGCAGAAAAATTTACCTTGGGCAGGGTGGGTGGCTAATGTGGTGGACGCAAATTTATCGGCTCATCGGTCTTTACTGGAAAGTCACCTAGCCTTTTTGCAAGCTAAAATGGGCAAACCATTGGCGGTGATTGATTATATGGGGCAATTGCTATCACAATAAAAATGTCGAGCTGGTGGTTCTAGCCGTTTTATCCAATTTTTTGTTTGAGGTAAAAAACGTTTAACCGATTGAAGTATTGCTAAAACACTAAAATGCGCCCACATGAGTGAAATATTTGGTGGCTATTTCACTCATGTATCGTTTAGCAATCCTATCCCATCAATTATTCTTCTGCAGCGTTAACTAAACGACGTTTTAATACGGCTTGTGCTAATAAATCAAGTACTTCTTTAGTTTCCTCCCAGCCAATGCAGCCATCGGTAATGCTTTGACCGTAGGTTAACGCTTGACCGGCTACTTGATCTTGACGACCTGCGACAAGGTGTGATTCGATCATTAAACCAAAAATTCGGTCATCACCACCAGCAATTTGCTCAGCAATATTTTGGCTGACTGGAATTTGATTTTCTGGTTTTTTGGAGCTGTTGGCGTGCGAAGTATCAATCATTAAGCGTTGTGCTAGTCCTGCTTTAGACAAGTCTTCGCAAGCAGCTTGTACACTTGCCGCATCATAATTGGGTGATTTGCCACCACGCAAAATGACGTGGCAGTCTTCGTTACCGTTGGTGGAAAAAATGGCGGTACGACCTGCTTTTGTGATGGATAAAAAGTGGTGTGGTTGGCTAGCTGCCTTGATGGCATCTACGGCTATTTTGATATTACCATCGGTACCGTTTTTAAAACCAATAGGTGCAGAAATGCCTGATGCGAGTTCACGATGCACTTGGCTTTCCGTGGTTCGAGCGCCAATGGCACCCCAAGCAATAAGGTCAGTAATATACTGCGGGCTAATGACATCTAAGAATTCTGTTGCGCAAGGCATTCCCATATTGTTGATTTCAAGCAATAGTTTTCTTGCTGTGGTTAAACCTTCGTTGATTCGGAAACTGCCATCTAAAAACGGGTCGTTAATAAGACCTTTCCAACCGACGGTGGTCCGAGGTTTTTCAAAATAAACGCGCATCACAATTTCTAGTGCGCCTTGGTATTGCTCACGTAAGGGTAACAAACGATTTGCGTAATCCATGGCCGCTTTTGTATCATGAATCGAACAAGGGCCAATGACGATCAGGACTCTATCATCCATGCTATGAAGAATCCGATGTGTCGCAATTCGAGATTCATAAACGGTTGAGGCAGCCGCCTCTGTAATAGGCAGATCGCCGATAATGGTTTCGGGTGATAATAAGTCTTTGATTTCTTTGATTCTTAAATCGTCAGTTTGCCTATTCATAGTCAGTTATCTCTAAATGGTAATCGTAATATAAAAAATAGTGTTGAATTTATGTGGTTTTTTGTTGTTTAAACGTTATTGATCATGAGCGTTGATTGAGGTGTTTAAAGCCTTAACTAACATGATGGTAACGACAAAAAACGCCTAAAAACAAATTTGATTGGTGTTTCATGAAGATGAGGTTGTTATTGTACAAGATAAGACGTGTTTACGAAGATGTATAAGGAAAAATAATCAATGATGGTGGTACTTAAGTTTGATGATTTTTTTGTGCAGGTATCATTTTTGAAAAATAACAAAGATTTACATTCTAATAAAACTATTAGAATCATATAGATGGTTCGTATTTTTCTGTAAAATACGGCATAATTATAAAAAGTTGACAAGAATTCACAAAAAAAACATGGTTAAAAAAGGGTTTTTGTGTAAAATAAAAATTGTTAAGTAAAAACATAGTCCATATGAACTATGTTTTTTGAGTGTCATGTGTACAGTGCGGATACTCTTGCTTGCAGGTTTCTACAAAGCTGTGGTAAAGTTCGGTACAAATTGGTTGAGGGCATCAAAAGTGCTTGATAACTTATTAAGAAATGCCAATAATTTTGCTTTGGCTTAGTAATTCGGGCTTACCCGCTCCTTTCCTATAAATTTATGCGGTTAAATCAACGTCTGAGTATAGA